AACCCACTCCATTACTTAAATGACACAGTGGGATCTTTTGAGTAATTGTTGTCAGTTGCAATAAATAGAGAACCCATTCATGTTATGTGTGGATGATTTAAAGTCCAGTGCATTAACGGTACCCTTTTGTAGTGCTTACTAAACACATATAGCAATTAATAAAGCAGTTTATGATGGAGAGATAGATGGAGGGAATCAGGTTAATGTCATTATGTTTACACATTGGTTCTTGTCTAAACCACTTACGCCTAAAGACAACATGTAGATAAGATTATAATGATTATGTTAGATTAGATATTTAAAAGACACGCAGGCAGGTCCATATGTATGATGATCCAAACCTCAGTCTGGGGCTTTGCAGAAAGTAACACAGTCAACCTTTTCAGTACTAAGCATGGATAAACTATGACATCGAACACAAGTCCAGCTCTGTTTTTACTTTACATAGCAAAATAAAACCCAGTAGGGTCTGCGTTAATGTTTTTTTTTTTTTTTGCCACAGCAGAGCTGCAATGCATTTCCTCTCAGACTCACTTCAGTTATGACTCCACTTACAGCATCCTTTAATTACAAAATTGAGTACCCACTCATTCAGTCTTAATGACATATCACTAGTGGAAATCTCATAAAACCTGGAAAGAAAAACATTTGGACTGCATCCCAAAAGTCTATGGATCCAGTGAGGTCATGGCTGTGGTAAACACAGAGCCATTTGTGGGTTGGGTTTTTATCAGCCTGTGACTAACAGTGATTCAGGGAAGCATGTTTAATGACTCAGAGGTGAGTTGTGAGAACTGCACATTCTCAGTCCTTTTTCCACAAACCTTCAAAGCCTAGTGACCCATATTCCTACCATCTGTATTGCTACTACTGCATACCTCTGCATCTACAACTGAATGAGTGATATCATCCATCCATCGCCAACCGCTTATCCTGCATACAGGGTCGCGGGGGGCTGGAGCCAATCCCAGCTGACATTGGGCAAAAGGCGGGGTACACCCTAGACAGGTCGCCAGTCCATCGAATTAAGACCAATTTTTCAAATGTTGCCTATTACCCTATCCTGCTGACTTGGCTGGCCCTAGTAACTGTACTGGTTTGTGGGTTATGCGTGCCAGTCAAATGATACTGTGTTGCAATCAGAGCAGCACAGATGACATCATGTTCACATGATTGAGCAATGTGTGATGAGATAAACAGTACAGTACAATAGAAAGTTATTGTGCCCAGTAAGTTCATTTTACACTGTACTTGTGGGCTGAATATTACCTCGTGAGGATATATTGGGCACTGTTATTTTTATCTAATCAAAGAATGACTAATTTCCCCTCAGTGGTAGTTAGGTGGCAATGTAATAAAAATCCCCACATTTCCAATCCACTAATTTCAAAGTGCTATGCTCAGGCTGAAAGATGGCTCTATCTGTAAAGGCTTTTGATGCCAGCAGATGAGAGGTCTGCACAGATGCCGAGTGGCTCCAGTCTAAAGAGGAGAGTCCTCCCTCTTACCTAGCACAGACAGGCACGAGGCTACTGCTGAGCTGGCAGCAGAACAAAGCCCTCCAACAGCTGCTTGATAATGTGCAACCATTAATTACATTCTGATGCCTCGAGTCTGGCCTCTGTCGCTGAGCAGAGAACCCTCGCTTTGCTGAGCACGGTGCAATTATGTAAGAATGTGTTGCACAATGTTAACTAGACACAACACCACGTACTTAAAAATTATTCTCTTTTACATATTCAGACCCTGGGTCTCCTTACGGACATCAATTGAGTCTTTGAGAAGCTGGCTGCATTGTGTTATTTCAATCTTGTTTCTTTTATTCTCTGTAAAACAAAAGTGTAACACAGCCTTGTATTTGCAAACAACAGAAAAATGTTTCTGTAGTTTCTGATCTTTCAAAGTCTCTACAGAGTCAATTTAGTATGTACATCACATTACGACCAGAGCCTCTGGTAAGTATAGCGTAACATTTATTGGATCCCAAAGAAATCTGTGCCTGACAAAATGAATAAACAAATCTGCAGGGGTCAAGGACCTAATGGCTGCAAATATTTTTTGCTTGTTCTCCACATATTTCCATTGTGTATTACTCAACTACATGCTGATGAGAAGGGTTTACACTCAGCATCACATGCACGTCCTGTACTAGCTCTATTTTTGCAGAAAGACAAATGTATTTTGTCACTCTCATTTAGGCTCCCACTTAAACTAAATGGTACTGGGCTGCTTGAGTGCTGATGATAAGCTACAGTACAGTGAAGCATTTATCATTCACCCAGGCAACTGTGGGCTGCAGTTGAGAAATGCATGCTCCTGCCAAAAAAGAATTACATGAACTGACCCACAGTGCTGGACTTTCTATTATTTCAGCACAGTCAGACATTGAAAATATAACTCCATGCAAACTTGCATATTGACTAGGGCAGCTGGGAAGTTCTCAAAAAACCCTTTAACTCAGAATCCTGTGAGTCAATTAAAGGGAAATTGAATTTAAATCAGTGTCTTGGCTTTCCCTAGAAATACTTTTATAGTAATACTTTTGACTAATATACCTATTAATTCAAAGCTTTGTATGTCATATGTCAGGTTAGCCTATAATTTCAATCAGTCAGTAATTAGAAATAATGCTTGTATGTTTCACTTTTCTTTTCCGAATGCTATGAATGGCAAGAAATAGACTCACTAAGAAGATCTGCCAGTTGGAAAACTGAAAAACAGGGACTCTGGCTTTCAGACACTATCTCACTTTCAGGTCCCACGGGTATACCAGCACATACAGGTAGGTATCAGCCTCTAATCCAATCATTTCCACCCTAATGGATCTCATTCATAGATATTCTGAAAGGGATTAAATAGAGATGGAAAAGCTGGGGCTTGGGCAAGCAAGGTAAGGCACCTATTTCCTTAAAAAGGTACTTTAACTGTTCAAAAAGTCTGAATTTCATAATCAAAAGATTTGATTAAAGGTTAGGGAATGGATTGCATTTAGCTGTGCATTATGCGACAAAGCCTCTGCACTCCATCTGAAATTGATGCCTGGTTAATCAAAAGGGCACATGCAGCTCAGTTTTGTTGAATATTTGTGTGTTCTTTCTTCCATTGTCTGAACTAACTGGGGAAAAACAAGCAGTTCTTTTGTATTCCATATAACCAGAAAACTGTGCTTCTCTGCCCCAGGTAGCCTAAGTAAAACAAAGGGCTCAGTGTTTGACATCTGACCAGGCATCAGTGCCCAACTTCCTAACTGCTTCCCCTACCTTTGCATTATTATTGCAAAGGTTATTTGGTTATTCTCCAAAGTGGATGACCTGGCAGTTGGCAGATGCGTCCACTTCCCAACACCACCACCAGCCGCCTCAAAAGCAGTGGCTTACCAGAGCACAATGCCAACAAACAGGCCAGGCACAGCAGTGTTGGATGACTTGTCTTTGTATGGTTTGAAAGGCTGATGCTGCAGTTTCACAGCACAATGAGAGAAGGTGGAGACCAAGAATCTAAAGGTAGAGTTGAAAGTGTGTGTTCGCCAGCGGTGTGTGTCTGACTGTTTGTGTCTGTACCCCCATGGCCAATGCAAGGCTGGATAAGCAACAAGACAACGCAGGCAACTGCCCCAAGGACACCAGAACTACAGGGGCCACAAAAGCTGCAGATTTACTGCATGTCATCTGGTTTGTGATAATTTTATTGTCCATTTGTTTTGGAATATGTTTCCTACCAGTAAAGCACAATACCATCAACAATTTGACATGTTAGGGGCCATAAGGTCGCTCCTGTTACCTGGCCTATAGGCACTGTCTTAAGAAGGACCCCAGTGTCAAAATCTAGTTTTAAGACCTTCATTTTTTCAGTTTTGTGCCTACATATTTCTTTTTGTACAATTTCTGGCATTTAACTTTAAGATCATGGGAATGAGGGGAGAGAGAAAGCTGGACTTGAGCACTCATGGAGACTGTCTCTGACAAGTACTATGGTACAATGGCTGCATTAACCAGTTAGCAAGCCCCGGGGCAGAATTTGCTATTGTGCCCCGACTGACCTCCTTAAATTAATTCATGGTGATTAGATTATTTGATTAAACAAAATTGCATTTAAGAATATGAACCATATGAACAATTTTTTTTAGGAGACGCACAGGTGTAAATAATAAATCAAAGATGGCTGAATTCCATGTAGCATCTTCAATTTCAGTTTCCGTGTCAATGTCACACTGACACTGCTGTGTCTTACAGGGACACTTAAAGGTGCAGTGTGCAAATTTTAGTGGAATCTAGTGGTGAGTTGTTGTTGGGAATTGTAACCATTGGCTCAGCAAACTAACCGTTATAACCATATTACAAACTACGTTTGCAAAATATGTATCTGCAATATGTGATTTTGCACAAATCAAAGTTTTGCATACTTCTAGATGTCCATTTTAATTCTTTTTGCAATAAAAATTTCAGAGGAAAAAAAGATTAAGGGGTGGTGATGGCGCAATGGATAAGACGCCTGATGGCGCAATGGATAAGATGCCTGCGTTTGTTGTGAGGGACCCGGGTTCACTGTGACCCATCCAACATTGTGTCCCTGAGCAAGACACTTAATGCAATCAAAGCAATTGTAAGTCGCTTTGGATAAAAGCGTCAGCTAAAAATGAATAAATGTAAATTCTGACACCACATGAAGGCACCAGTCACCGCTCACCCCTCCCTTTCCAAGTGCGCAGGAGAGCCTATGGTGGCCGACTCGCTCTGTTGGCTCTTGTGCTAAATAATATATGTGGTCCTCCATTTGTCCAAATTTCTCTACTTTTCTTACTTTTAATAAACTAGTCGACTAGTACTACTACTAACGTTACTTGTTCTTCTTCTTCTTGTACATATTCAGCGTAGTGAGGAAACTTGCTTTATAGAGTAGTTTGTCCATTTGGGCTAATGTAGAAACATGGTGGCGCAACATGGTGGCTTCCATGTAAGGGGACACACGGTGTAAAGTAATAAAAACATAACAGCTCATTATGTAAGGTCACCACTGAAAATATAGTTATGGATATTATATTGCATTTCTGTCAATAGATCCTCCTAAATATTACACTGAACCTTGAAATAAAGGATCCATTGCTAATGTTATATGTAACACCTGTACTTTCCCCGCAATAACAAGTTAAATTGTCGACTGTGAAAAAGACACACAGGGCCCAGCAGATCAATATTGCCCTGGGGGGCCTATAGCATGTTAATCCAGCCCTGCCCACATTGTTGTTCACACTACTGAAAGGTGTCTTTGTTTAGAAAAATATGCATCCACAGCCATGCAAAAGGCAACAATAACACTGCCAGTATAAAACAATGTTCATCTAAAACCACAAAAAAGACAATAATAACACAGCCACAATGAGTTTTAAGAGAATTCATCCAGCAATATCCTTCCATACTCCCACATAGAAAAAAAACTATTTAGATGTGTCTATCAGTTAACGTATTTAACATGCCAAATGAATTGACTGTACCTGCCTGCCCTACCCCCTGAGCTCCTGCCCTCCTCTCAGCCATCCGCCGTTGCCAAGGTTTCCGTGTACGCGCTGCCAGCGAGAGCGGAGCCGCGCGACTGTCATACAGTATTGCCAGACATGGCGGCGGATCTACAACCCGAGTGGGTTTCTTGTCTCCCTTCTTCCTGGAGTTATGGGGTTACTCGGGATGGACGCGTCTTCTTCATTAAGTAACTATCCCTTCAAAAACAAAAGCTCAAGTCACGTCTGCCCATTTCGGATTCGAACAAAGTCACCGTGTTATAATGAATGCATTTCCCTCTCTCAACAGCGAGGAAGCGAAGAGTACAACCTGGCTGCATCCAGTAAGTGGCGAGGCGGTAATAACCGGGCACAGAAAAACTCCAGGTAAGGTGTCACTTAACGGCGGTCAAGTTTCTCTGTTATGTTTAACGTCTCTAATGTTCGCCGTCATGTGTTGCTGTTTGCCCGTATCCCCAAACCCGATACTTCCCACACTGAGAGAGAGAGGCTGTGACATGCATGCTGTGTTTCTTAACGCGTGAGTGTGCTTTTGTCGCTCGTGCTGAGTGAAAAGTGAGCTCTCTCATGCCCACCTCTGCCCTGCTCGTGCCACTTTCCTCGTGAGGCACAGCCTCTTTTTGAGGTTGGTCAGCCAGTTAAGCTGACGGAGGGATGTTAGCTTAGCCTACTGTTTCATGTGAACTTGTAAAGCAACGACTTTTACTAACAACCACCAGCATGTCAATTAATTTTGGAAGCATTTTATTGTTGTTAAATAAACTAACGGCTTGTTGCCCAAATAGCTTTATAGAGACAGAGTCCACTAAACAGAGATCTACAGTTTGACACATAGATCCACAGCGGCTGTAGACTCAGGAGCTAGTAAAGGTTACCTGCAAATCAACATAGTCGCTTCCTTTATCTGTGCCGACACTTAAAAACCTTTAACCAATCTTAAACGCAGTATTTTACAAGGTAAAATGACCTCCTTGCATGTTAACATGCGACTAACTCTGTAGCAGCCTTCTCAAAGAACCTGAAGTCTCTGCAGACTGCGGAGCATTTGCACTAATGTGATTGAGTGGCTGCTGCATCTCAGCAGGGCTGCAACTAACGATTATTTTCATTATTGATTTACAGATTGTTTCCTAGATTAACCAAATAATCATGGTAGTCTGTAATAGGTAAACAAAAGTAATAATGCAGAATTTTCCATAGCCCAAAGTTATTAGATCTAAAGTAATTAGTCCATTAATTCAGTTGATTGGCAGAAAATTAATTCATCTTCAAATATTTTGATAACTGATTAATCCTGGAAGTAATTTTTCAAGCAAAAATGGCAGATTTCTTAGTTTCATCTTTTCAATTGTGAGGATTTTCTGATTTTTTGCATTATGTAACAGTAAATTGTCTGTGCTGGTCAGACAAAACAGGCAAGATGTCACATTGAGTGTGATGGGTAGTTTTTTAACTGCAATTAACCAACTGACTAATAATAGTTGATAATGAACATAATAGTTAGTTGCTGCCCTAAAAGTAAAATTTGCAAGTTGCTTAATTTGTCCAACCAACTATTCAAAACCAAACATATTTCATTCCCTATAATATAAAAAAGCAGCAAATCCTATTGAGAAGCTGGATCTTGCTCATGTTTGGCATTCTTGCTTGAAAAATGACAGAAACGATAAATACATTTTTAAAACAGTTGCCAATTTTTGTTTTTAGTCGACTAATTGTTTAATCGACTAATCGATGCATCTCTGCATCTCAGTGTGTGTGAATTAACAGCATAGGCCAAGTTTATTTAATATACATGCCATCTCTTTGTTGCACCAGTTTGTATTGACATGTTTTTGTCCACCTCTCCCTCTTTCACAGACCTTCCCACTGGATGGGAAGAAGGATATACTTTCGAGGGTGCACGTTGCTTTATCAAGTGAGTTAACACCCTCCCTCCAAGAGACACACACCCATCATAACCCCAGAACCTGCATACAACATCTAAACATGCCATATGAATTCAAAGCACTTCCCCTTTGCATATCACCATGAATGCGGGATGCCTTCATTTTAAACAGGTTTATTTATTACCACTTGTATCTCTTCAAGTGAATGAAAAGCTCCTTCAAATGTCGTGCTACTCCTGAAAACATACTGTGAATTAGAAGTAAATATTGCATGGCCGTGCATTTGGAACCTTTACTCCCTATTTCTCTACTGTTGAAGCCTATTGCCTAGTTAATGATTACACAGGAACACTGTGCAAATACTAGACAGACATGGGCAAAGTGTGGTTGCGAGCTGTTTTTATTTATTCAGACTTACCCTGCTCAGAGCTGAGCCTACTTGAAGAGTTGAGTATAATGTGTTAAAGTTATTAAATCGTCAAGAAACTGTTATCCCCGCTGTTTAGATGGTCTGGTCACAATTTAAAATGACCCTTGTCTTAAATGGGTGCTGGAAAGTACATGCCAACATACTGTATTAAAAACTTATTATTTAACGTCTCCTTCCATTGATTTTGTTTGAACACCTTATGTATGCTCATTTGTTTGTGCTTGTGGGCAGGAGAAAGTGTCCACTAAAACACTTTGTTTTTTTCAGTTCGTGCCCCTGTCTGTTTTAAGACCAGGATCTGCATGAATTACATTAGTGAACTACAATATGTTTCACATTTTCCTCTCTCTCCTCCGTGGTAGCGTGATGCATGCAACTAATGAAAAGACGCTGTCATTCAGTCAGCACTGATTCATAATCATCACCTCAGAATGTTTTAAATCCAAGAATATGAGTTGAAATATGTTGTTATTTTGCATGTCTTAATGCAATACTCCCCCCCCCCCACACACACACACACACAAGGTATAGATGGATTTCACTGCCAAAATACAAGAATGCTTCTGTATGCTTCTGACGCTGTAATACAGAGGCTACGAATTTAGGATATTATGCCTTATTATCCTCACTGAATCCCTTCTCCGTCTTTGACTTCCTCTTGAATTTAAGAAGCTTCATGTGGCAGGTTGCCAGGCAGTCCGGCTGAAAGGCAGTAATTTTATATTCTAGTGTTTTACCTTCAGCTTCTCTGTGTAAAACAGACTTGGGGACCGCATTTAATAGTTGATCACTGTGATTCTGGCATAGTCCAATGACACTTTACAGACTAATCATGTTGTCCCTTACAAAGCATGCATTTTACATGCGTGCATTTACTTCATGCATTACATACGTTTTAGACACATTTTGAATTTTATGAAAAACTGTATTGAAGAAGTAATTTGATGATGAAAATGCCTATACATTTTCAGCTTTGTTTTAGTCCCAAGCAACCCGATTGCTGTGCCTTCTACAAATCACTTAGCTGACATTAGAGATCACTGTACTGTATGCAAAATACTAGATAAACCTGCTGTACACAGGGTTTAGCTGAGGATTAAGAGCATAGACTGTATTGATTAAGGGGATATATGTACAGTTCAGGAAATTTTTTAAAAACATATCTTTTAACATAACCACAAATTAAACTATATTATCCAATATCTTCTATTTATTATGTAATAGCTCAGCTGCTGGCACTTACATTTGAAACTAATGTAATATTTGATTAAAAACTACTCAAATCAGTGTAAGTCATTTTAATAGCATTAGGGAGCTTATTGATTATCTGACAAACTAAATAGGACAATTTACAGCATCCATTATTGCTGCTCAGCAAAGAGGGCCCATTGTTCTATTTATATGTCAGGTGAACCACATGTGAATCTTTTAGTCACCTGTAATTATAAGTCACACTCACAATAAACAAACTGCAAACTGCAAACATGTGTTCAGCTGGTTTAACTGAGCCTGTTCTAAACTGCAGCTTAGCAAGAAAAGAAAACTTAAACACAGAGAAACGGCCTCAGCAAATCTCCTTGTTTTGACCTTGATCAAAATCTGACCAGCAATGTGACCAAATCTGTACATTGCAAAAACAATCTTTAGGATTGAGCAATGTGACAGATCATTCATTTGTGGATAGGATACCCAAAAATACACACTGCAGTTCAATAGATTACCTTCCCCTCTCCCCAAATATGTTGTCTCTCAATCCTCTCTCACCTCTCTTTCCCCGCTGTCACTCATTAGTGGTGCATGTCACTAACTTCATCTATTTTTGAACACTGCATATAAGCAGCTAACTAAAAGCTAAACTGTGAGCCCCAAATTTGAAATGCAACTTGATTTCATATTGTTAGTATAAAAATTGTTAGTTAATGTAGTTCCTTTTGTTGTGGTCCTACAGAAAATACTAGTAGGCATATGGTATACAGACATACAGTAAGCTGTACTGCCTGCTTATTGGGTAGACTACACTGTTTAATTTCAATGAAAGCTGATGCAGATTTTGTTGATGAAATGTAGATAATTAGACTTCATGTGATCAAGGCTGCCACAGTCTGACTTGTTTTTACTGTTTTAGTAAGATGCCTTTTCCCAGACTGTTCACTGGGACTGACCCAAGAGGTTCCTCTTTGTTGTTTTACTTAGCAATAGTTTTTAAAATTCAAATGATGCGGTCACCACTGTAAATTTGTGTTTAAGTGGGCTGATACACAAGTATGGTCAATTCAAGGCCCAAGATAAATTTGTCGGTCTTTAGGGATGAAAATTTGCTTAAGTAATTGGGCTAGATGTCAAACCATGCCTGTTAGTTTCATTGTGACTCATTGTTTTGACATAGAGACATGCTGACAGGTTTATGTGATAACTGTCTTGGACAGTACTTGAGGCATTTTGAGGCTTTGTGTGAGGCTGCCAATAAAAGCCTCTGAAAACTGCCCAAAACCATTAGCCTGATGACAGCTAGATAAGTCTGTGCCTTAAGTTTTACAGTAGGTAATCATTACTTTGTCATCAATTTAGTATTGGCATGTATTACAAATTTAAGGCTATATTTTTGCATTTGTAATGTACATAATCAAGGGACAAACAGTTTAAACCAAAAAAAACAACACCCTCCTTTTGTTTTTAGACTTTTGAAATAGAGATTGGATTATTAATTCATTTAAAGAGGTGGTATTATTCAAATTATTATTATTATTTTAATTAGGGGTTGTACCAGAACAGGTTTACATGGTTTAATTTTCAAAAAACACCATATTTTTCTCATACTGCACATTGCTGAAGCTCCTGTTTTCACCCCTTGTGCTGTACGCTGCGCTCTTGAGCTACAGAGTGATGCATCGTACTTGTACAAAATCTTAGTTGGGAGTTGCACATGCGCAGTTCCCAGCTAGGACTACTAGCCAATCAGAAGTAGAGAAGGGCGGGTCGTAAGAAACAAGGTGTGTGATCCAAGTCAAAGCCGCTTCAGACTGAGACCGTAACCTAGCAGATGGTATAACTTATTACCAGTCCACAACATCATTGTTCCACATCTTACCATCAGGACTAAACGTTGAACTGTTGCCGGTGTTCTGACGATCAATGCTGCCTTGCCAAAAAATGCTTCCATAGCGCAAATCGATTGACTCCACTCTACTCGGGCCTGCTCCGTTTTCCATTGCAGGTAGTACCCAGAGATAGTACGTAGATAGTCGTCATAGCGACGCCGCATACAACTGCCACGACGTACGTAACTGCTGCGACACACACCAGCGATCCACACAGCTTTCTCTTTTTAAAGTTAAAACGTTTCAACATTCCTCAGAATGTAAAGACAGATAAGCGGTATGAAAACCTTCCAGCTGTGTTTTCCTCTGCTGTTGTTGCTGCAGCGGTCTGTGTGACGGTGTGAGCAGAGGGCTCTGTGAGCGGGCGGCTGGCCGGCCTCACACGCTCCTCCCACGGTCGGCGCAGGCATTCCCCACAGCCACTTGCGGAGCTTCTCAACTCCGACAATATTCATCACATTTACATTTACTTATTTGGCAGATGCTTTTATCCAAAGCGACTTACATTTGAGGAACAACATACAAGCATCAACAGAGCATCAACTACAGATCTACAACTGACAATACATACTAGTAAGAGCAGCAATAAATACTAGTAAGAGCTCACAGTACATATCACGTCAATGGGGTAGAAACCTAGGGAAGGAAGTAAGAGTTAACAAAAAGTACAATCAAAACAAAAAGTGCAATCAATATAAGATCATTGTAGGGGATAGAAGAAGAAGAGCACAGGAAGTGCATGTTAGAGGTTAGGAGTTAGAGGTGTTATAAGAGGAAGTGTTCTCGGAAGAGATGAGTTTTCAAGAGCTTCTTGAAGTTAGAGAGGGACGTCCCTGCTCTGATGGCGTGTGGTAGCTCGTTCCACCATCGTGGTGTCACAGATGAGAATAGCCGGGACTGGGATTGCTTTGTGTGAAGGGATGGCAGAGCCAGGCGGCGTTCGTTGGAGGAGCGTAGCGGCCGAGAAGGAACGTAAGTTTGTATTATGGAATTTAGGTAGATGGGTGCAGACCCAGTCACTCTGTATGCAAGCATTAGTGACTTGAATTTGATTCTGGAGGACACGGGGAACCAGTGGAGGTCACTGAGTAATGGAGTGACATGAGTCCTTTTGGGCTGATCATTTGTAAGGGTTTCACCGCACAAGCTGGGAGACCTGCTAGGAGGGCATTGCAATAGTCGTCACATTTTTGTTCCGCCATCACTTATTGTAAAACTGTCAATATTCGAAATCTACACAGCTGATTTCACCTCAAAACTTCTCAGAAGTGGATTTAGTGATGAAATTCCATACGAAAACTGTAAAATATAAAACTTTCTGTTGCTGGCCTCTGTCTGGTGCACGCAATGATGATGCAGTGAATAGTGAATATTCTCTCTGACCAATCAGCAGTCTGTCGTGTTTTCACGTCACATTTTAGTATCCCTCAGCTGGCTTGGAACCTCGATGGAGGTGAGGTGATAAGAAAAAAAGTACCTGGAAGCAGGTACAGGTGCGAGTTGAGCCAAAGGACCTCTGCTCAGACTAGCTTGATTTGAGGGCGTGCCTGACCCACTAGCTGCTTGGCAAGCTTTATGACGCGTTTGCATTGTGACATCACAAGTCAAGGAAGTGAAGGGCTGGACTACAAACGAGCTGTTTTCAAGCGGTTCAGAGCAGTGTTTTCTGTGGGAGATGGGAACTCCCTTTGGGCTGGACTTTGGGCTTTTTCACTTTGAAAACCTGTTACATGCACAAAAAAGATATACAACTCAATAAAGGAGAGGGAAAAAGCCAAAAAGCATAATTAAATGACTTGAACCTTTTTGAGCCTGCGAAAGGATCTGGCCCATTCACATGCTTGCTGTGTGGCTTGGCTGTTACCATCGGGTTACACAGTGTGAGCATCTTTGGAGCAGATTGTGCTGACGTAGACTGCCCTCTTAACGGGATGTGTCGGGGAGGGTGGGAGGTGCGGATTGTTGGTGTGATAGTGTGGACTAGTGGCATGGCCTGTCACAAGATTTTATTATTTTATGGTACTGTGAGTTTTGATTGAGTGAAGGTCAGTGCAGATGTTAATTAAAT